TGAATTTTCAGCCCTTTTTTTAAATCTTTCATCATTGCCCTTGCTAAAAATCACATCAATACATTCAACTTGGCTTAAAATTTCTCGTCCTGATTGAACCTTAAGTGGCATTCTCAATTTTGATTTTCCATCAAATCAAGCATGAGCCAACCTAAATTTGTGTATACCATTTAAAAAGCGTCGATGACCCATAAATACCATTTTCAACTATTAGATAATTGAAATGACGAACAATCAAAATTACAAGTCGGACATGCTAATCTTGTATGAACATTTCATCTAGACAATGTCCCAAGACCAGGAAAATCAGTAATTGTCCACATCAGTGCTACATGCATTCTAAACATTTTATTGGAATAAGAATCATATATTTCTACTCCAACATTCCACAAATCTAAAAGTTCTTGAATTAAGGGTTGCAGATACACATTAATGTCATTTCCTGGAGCTTTTCATCTAGGAATTATCATTGAAAGTATGAATGAACCCTGTTTCATACACATCCATAGGGGGAGATTATAAGGCATAAGAACCACTAGCCAGATACTATAACACCTACTCAAAGTTTTAAAAGGATTGAAACCATTAGTAGCTAATGCCAATAGTGCATTTCAAGGTTTTAAAGCAAAATTTTGATAATTCATGTCAAAATTTTTTCATGCTTCAAAATCCCTCGGATGCATCATCAAACGATCAACATTATGTTCATCAAAATGCCACCTTATATGCTTTGCAATTTTAGATGACATAAACAGTCATTGCAATTATGGCTTTAATGGAAAGTATCTCAAAATTTTCATTGGTTTTTTTGCTTGTTTTTTTCTCTTTGGATATCAATTTCCATCTTGATGTATTGCACGTTTTACAGGTTTTTCTTTTGTCATCTTCTCCCCAATATAACATACAATCAATCATTTGGACAAATGTCTATTTTTTTATATTCCAATCCTAACTTGATAATAGTCTTTTTTGCTTCATAAAATGAAGAGAAAATTTTAACAAATGGAAAGGCATCTGCCAATAATTCCAGAATCATAGATAAAGCTTTGTTGCTTATACCACACAAGCATTTAATGTGGTACAATCTAATTAAAAATGGTAATTTTGAATATTTTTCACACCCATCATATAATTGCTCTTGCCCATCTTGTACCTAGCTATTCAAAAAATTCTTTGGTGTCATTATTCATCCTTTGATTTTGATTTTGTGATGAATCCTCAATTTGAATTGATGTTTCATGTTCTTCTTGCACACCAAAAGTATCACAAACTAATTTATGAATATGATCACTAGCCTCATTTCTTGTTCTCTATTTCCTACGTTAACTGGGCCACTAGAAGAAGCTACTCGAAATTCACAATTTTCACCATGCAAAACCCAACATATATATCTAGGAATGGTTTAGCAATTAAATGTTTTCGAACCTCCTCTTGAACATTCCATTAAAATTACACTTAGGGCAAGGATAAATTATTTTACCTTCAACAGCACTATTTGTAAAAGTAAAATTTAAAAATCCTTCCAAACCATTCATTTATTCTCTTGTATTGCAAATATTGGATATCCATAATTTATCCATTTTCTATATAAAATAAAAAATATTTATAATTTATTATATTTAAGCATAAAATTTCAACATATTTTTTATTATTTAAATGAATATAAAAAATGAAAATAAAAATCTCATCATGCACAACATAAATTTAAGCACAACAAATAAATTTAATTTCAACATTAATGTAACATTTAAATTATCCTATATAAAAATAAAATTTTATAATAAAAAATTTAAACCTAATAAAATACTACAACATAAATTCATGTCACATTTCATCCTAAAAAATTAAATATCTAATTTTATCTTATTCTATTCATAGATATTCAATGTATATTAAGAACAAAATAATAAATATCATACATAAAATTTTATATAATTAAAAAACGAAATATAACATAAAATAAAAAATAAATTACCTCAAATGTGCAGCGAAATGTCAAATTTATAATGACTTTGAGAATTTTTTAACTCCTAAAAATATATAATAAAATATATAAAATATAAAAACATATATAAAATAAACAGAAAAAATAAAAAGAAGAGGGAAAGACATGAAGCATGTGTACCTCAAGATGCCGAATATACTGCGCGGAGTTGAAAATAATATGGGTGGGTATAAATAAGAAGAAATCGAGCCATAATTTCTGAGAATCGTGGCTTGGTTTGTGACAAGACCATGTGAGCCTTGTTTTTCACATAAACGTGGCTCAATAAGCCACAGTTTTTGAAAAATCTTGGCTTTAGTTCTTTTTTCAAAAAAGAAAATTGACAGCAATGGTTTTTTAGTAAAAATGTGGGATTATCCAACAGTTTAAGAAAAAAACGTGGCAATTATCTGTGGCCATTGCAGCATTTTTTTTGTAATGTGAGTCTAAAATAGATTGATTTATAGATTGATCATTATGATTTTGTGTGGATTGTGATATATAGGTGGGTTATATAAGTGAACTCAATGTACAGAGACCCAACCTATAACCTTATAGTAGTCAATTATTCTCTATTTCTTAATTGATTGAATTAAAGTTAATGAAGCATTAATTAATTAATTATTAAGACGGTTATTAATATAATCAATATAATGCAATCAGTCAATAACCAACATATACAACTCTTTTATTTCTCTCTATTATCTCTGCATTATCTAAAAATTGAGAGCCTGATGTGTTATGAGTTTACCTACACTCGAAGTATTTGAGGCGTCATAAGTCATAGATTCTCTAGATATGCGTGTTAACTTCTTATCTTATTTAAATTATGTAAATTTTGATGCTAATTTCATCATTTTTCAGATCAGCTTCGTAGCGTTAGCTTAATTAAGTGGAGTGACCTATGTCAACCGTTGACACGTGGTGGATGCGGCCTCATTAATCTAGAAGCCCAAAACAAAGCTTCCCTCTCCAAACTGGTTTATAAAATTGTTTCTGAACTAAGCTCTCATGGGTGCGAGTGCTAAAAGGCAAATATAGAATTAATGAAGACATCAATCAGGATGTAAGTAGGCATAAATATTCATATTTCTGGAAGCATATTGCTCGTATTTGGCTGGACACTGTGATAAATATAAAATGGCAACTGGGTGATGGTCGGAAAAATCAAGTTTTGGTTTGATTTTTGGATTGGTGATTTAGGACATTTAAAACATCTATCTTATGCTGAAATTTCTGAGCAAGAGCTTCAGAAGACAATCTCTGATTATTTAGATGATGAAGGACAGTGGAAATGGAATGCTTTCATGCATTTACTGCCAAAAGACGTTATAGACGGCATTGCTAAAGCCTCAATCAGTTTGAACACACCTACATCACCAACTTGTACCTGAAATCTGAATGCAAATGATGAATTTCCTGTTAGATCGGCTTATATTGCGTCCCTTTTGGATTGGAATGAATCTGATGCTATCTGGACCAACATCTGGAAGCTTCCTGTTGCTCAAAGAGTAAAAACATTCTTATGGCTTATAGTTAAAGGACGCGACTCCTTACCAACTCAGAGAGATATCGAAGAGGGATAGCACAAAATAAACAATGTTCCTTTTGCCATGCGCCAGTTGAGAATATTAATCATGTTCTTAAAGAATGTTCTTTAGCTGCTAATGCTTGGAGGAAAGTCCTACCTAGTGATTTGTACATTGACTTTTACGGTAAGGACATTAATTGCTGGCTAATATTTGCCTCAGCTTGATAATTCATGGAAGGCTGGGGTCGATCAGCATCATATGTTGGAAATTAGGAATCGTCGACTTCTCAATGATGATTCTGTAATGTCACTGAAGATATTATTCTATCTCATGTTAGAGCACTCACAATCCATACTCTTAGATTTGCTACTTAAAAATCTCTGGTGTAATTTTCTGATGTATAGCCTGTAACTTCTTTGCTTTTTCCTGTTTTGCCTTTTGCTTGTACAGCTTACTCCAGAGAAATGAAACTTACCCTTTACTCGAATTAAAAAAGTAGCGCATTTCTACAAAGAAAGAATTCAAATCCAAAATAGTATGGCTTTATATATATTGTTATGAATAGTTTAACTCATCTCAAACTAATGTTAACAAATAACGATCAAGGATATGCTCTGACCGAGAGAGAGAGAGAGAGAGAGAGAGAGAGAGAGAGAGAGAGAGATCTATGTGCAGAGAGTTTGGTTAAATATGGTTGAGGGAAAAACTTTGATGTGCTCAACTTCGAATGATCATGTCAAATTCACATCTGTCAGCGGACACGTTATCTCGTTTGACTAATCAACTTTGCCTTATGGCCGGCGCTGGAAGCCTATGGCACTGCCTCGGTCACTGTTCGCGGTTGGATGCTCACCTCTTCTTCCTTGCACGCAACCAGCCGGATGCGATCAGGAGGTCTGATTCTCTTTCGTGTTAACCCTTTCCCACCAGAGAATGGGATTAAACCCTTTAATTAATCTACAACTAATCATATTTTAAAGATCAAGATGTTGCATGTTCCTCTAGAAAAAAGTACAACCGATGATAGAAGAAGCGGAAAAGAAAGCCAAGTTGCGAAACGAGTGGAAATATATGTGTGTGTGCGTGTATTATGGCATGGGATCATACGCCGCAATCCACGAATTTTTGTTACAGCTCTATTTCGACCCGACGCGAAGATGATCTATTACTACTACACGAAATATAGTATATTATGCATTAGTGATGAGCTTTTTATTATTAGTTACATGAGTTTAGCTCATCATCTCAAACTAATGTTTACAAACGATCAAAGCAGAGAGTTTGGTTAAATCTGGTTGAGGGAAACTTTCATGTGGCTGAAATTTGATCAAGACGATGCCGATTAATGTGGCATTCAAGTTTTAGAATTACTGGAAACGTTAGATATATCACAGAAGATCCTAATTTGAGAGTGCTAGGATCTTTAATAATCATAATAATAATTCATATGAGATTAAAATGACAAACAAGGAATAATCACAACATCACAGTGATGCACTGATAAAAGGTTTAGGCTTAGAAGGTGGAAGAACCATGCTGGGATTAAGCTGAGCATAATGAAGTATCTCTTGATGATGTTCAAAGATCTTCATCTCTTGCTCGTCCAGAGTCACCAGGGCTTCAACCCCACCATCTCTGGAATCCAGCAAAGCCACTGTATTGCTCACCATCTTGTTCACACTCGACATCCACACAGGGTTCCCCCACCCATAATCCACGTCGTACAATGCCGACCTACACCAACTCGAACACTTATAAACCACTGTCTCCTCCTTCTTCTTCTTCATCATCTCTCCTCTCTCCTTCAGAAACTCCATTACTGCTTCAACCCCATCTCCTTCTTTGAACTTTCTTGCCTTCTTCTCTATGAACTCCTTCATTCCTTTCCTCATCTTCTTCACCACCTCGTGCAATTCCATCTCCTTCTCTTCCTCCACCATCACCACGAAAGGCAACACGAGATTCCCGATCACCGTCGCCGGCACCGGAGGCTCCATTCGGGGACGGAGATTCACGCCTTGGAACATGGCCGACCGCTTGAACAACCCCGTTTTGGAACTGTGAGATAGCACTGCGCATCTCCAAATCAACGCAAGCACTACCTCGACGCGCGACGGGCGAAACTGATCGTTGTCTTTTCCGAGAGCGGTTTCTATTCCGCGCTTGAGTGCTTCCACCATGGAAGGACTGAAAACGAACCGTCTGGTCGTGAACTTGTCGACTGCCATGTTGACAGAAGCGGACATCACCGGAATTTCTCGTGGAGGTAAAAGGGAAGAGGCGAGGCCTAAGTCGGGAACATACGGATCTCCAGCTCCCCGACAGGCGGCGGTCCAGCTCTGAAGGATTGTGAGGAAGGTCGCTAGATCGGAAATCTTGTGGCTGATGCAAATTCCTATGGCTGTCCCACCACAACCGAACATTGTGAACTGGACAAAGAATAAAGAACCGTTTGACAATAACATGGTTTGCTTGTCGGACGAAGGAAGGAAGTGTTCGAGAGTGTCGAGATCTGGGTCGCTGAGGAAATGAGAGAGAAGGGTGGGGGTTCGCGCTTCAACGTAAAACATGCCATCGTCATTGCAGTTGATGGTGGTGCCGCCCCAGAGGCGGCCAGCGAGGGGATAGAAACAGGTGAGCAGTCGGGAAAGGGAGGTCTGGAGAAGTTGGGATTTGGTGGAGAAATCAGAGAGGAGGTCGCGGCAGCTGGTGCTGCCGCTGTCAGTGGCGGCGACAGGGAAGAAGAAAGCACTAGTACTGTGGATGTTAGGGGAAAGCTGATCTAGAAGGGAGAGTTTAAAAGATTTCAAGTGCGATGGTGTGGATGCGGCTGGTTTGATGCATTTTCTAGAAGTGATCTCAATTCTGATCTTAGCATCCCTTTTCTCAGCAGTTCTTCTAATGAGTTTATTTTTTTTCCTGTAAGTTTTGAGATTAATGTGTGTGTGTATATATAGCTTTTGTAATCGACTCATTTTTCAAAGTATTTGAATTTTGAACCCACGAGTATACAGTAATTAACCTTACCCAAACACTCATGCATATTTATAAAAAAGGGATTATATATATATATATTATATGTATATAATACATGCATGCCTAACATGAATTGATTGAAGTCTTTGTCATAAATTGAACTGTTGTGAATAGGATTTTGTATAGAAGATAAGACATTTATACTTTTTGTACTGAGAAATTCAAGGCAACCTGATTTATAATTAAATTTGGCAAGTTACAAAATCTTATAAAAATTTAGGATTGAAGATGGAACATAATTATTGAAAATAAATCTGCAAAATTGTTATATATTAGCACTGAAAATGAACTTTTTTAATCACAATTCTATTGTGATGATGTGGTACTTATCTTGACATTTAAAACGATGGGAATTTTCTTCAACTTAATTAAAGGTGAGGTTTCAAGTACTCAAAATTTAGAAATTAAGGAAATTTTTTTTTACATTTTAAAAATTTATAGTCTAAGATGCTATTGGCAGATTAATTTAAAGTTTAAGATACTAATTAACCCTAATAATTATATTCACGCATGCATATGAAGACTAATTATTGTCATTTATTTATGATGAGTGCATGTTTGTTCGCTCTCTTGAAAAGATCAAATTGTAAATTAATTTATATGCAAGTTAATAACGTATCACGAGTCGCAGTAGCACGTAGTATATCCAAACAACATTAATTAATCCCATGTTTTCTGGATTCAATTGGGCAGTAATGATTTTTGTAGTGCTTTGTTTGACCAATGATGAGCTGTTTTTATTCGATGACGATGAGCGAGGAATATGGTGGTTAAGTAAAATTATTTGTACGTCCTCAAATAAGACACAGTATTAATGTTATAAAAATTTTAGGAACACTTTTTAGTCTTCCTCAAGACTTGCATGCCAACCACTTCGCTGCAAAGACAGCAAACAAAATAAAACGCAGCAATCATTTTATAATGAACTTAGCTTCCAAATCTCGTGATATCTCTTGACAACTTGATCTTATTTCATGTGGCTAAAGATTAAGACTTCTTACCTGCTTTGTCTTCCAAAGCATTTTGAACAATGTCTTTCGTTTAAATTATAGAAGTCATAGAGGATTTTTGCCTATCAACAATATATGCAAAAATATCTGGTATTTTAAATTTTTTATAATGCAACATCCAGTGGCAAAACAAGATCCCAAGTCAGGGGGGTGATTTTCTTTTAAGGATACTTTTATAATTTAAAAAATCAATTATATCTTCAAGTGTATTCCGTGTCCTAGACTCACAACATCTAAAAACGGATCATTGTTATTCCTGTCACTAATTGCAGTAAAGTTTCACTGTTAAACTTTTTTTTTTTCACAAAAAAAATATATACAGTTGGCAGCCACATGCCTTTCATCTCACAAATGAGGCAAATTTTTTTGTTTTAAAAAAATAAACCTCTCCTCTTGTCGGCGTCTTGTCCATTTCTGCTTCAAGAAATTGAAATCTCCTGCAAGGGGAGAACCGAACCTAGCAATCTTAACATGTTGAACGATCTTTGAACCAAATCTGAACGAAGGAATATAAGCAATCGAACCCAACAAAGGAGGGAGGGAGCAGAGGGGGTTACATTGAATTGGGCAGCTCGTAAACTTTTCATTTATGTATATTATCAGCAAGTGATGAAAGGAAAATGTGCCTCCAGGCCACCCTGGATTTTCCTCATGGGGCTCAATGCTTAACACCGTTCCTTATCGTAACAGTCTTTTGCAGGAGAAGGCATCACAGGGCCAAAAGGGTAATACGGTGGCAGAGGAACCGTCATAGTCGTTGGCGGTGGGTACAGGTAATGCGGTGCAGAATTCTAGTTTGGGAATTATTAGGGCGGAGCAGGAGGAAAGATGAATGGGAGAACTGCACTGCAGGCCTTAAAAATAGAAAATTGCAATTTGGGCCCAAAATATTTTGATAATACATTGCAGACCTAAGGGCTTTTGTTGTTATTTTTTTAGGAGTGAAAATACTATTTTGTCCTCATATGATTTGAAAACTCAAAACCTGTGCAAAATTCTTATCCACAAAGCACAAGATGTTCATGAATTTTAAACACAATATCCACGCATGTCCACGCATGGACATTCAGTTCAAAATGCATGAATATCGTGTTGTACATGCTTCACATGACTTTTATATTTTAATTAACCTATAAATTAACTGGACATACATGGACATTGTGTTGAGAATTTATGAATATCGTATTGTACATTGTGTTGTAGATGATCTGCATGACTTGTATATTTTAATTAGCCTATAGATCAACTGGACACGTATGAATATTGTGTTGAGAATTTATGAATATCATGTTGTGCACTTGTAGACTTTGTGTTGTACATGCTTTGAATTTTTAAATCATACAAGGGCAAAACTTTACTTTCACTCCCAAGAAAAATTAGAATAAGGGCCCTTGAGCTTGCAATGCGATTCTCCCTATATGAATCTATGGTTTTCTTCACACCAAGAGAGAGAGAGTTTTTTTTTTAAGAGAGTTTTCTTGGTTAAATTTTTTACTAGTTTGCTAAACAAGTTGCCATGTAAATGTCTTGTAGACAGTAGATATGTATGCATCCAACATTACAAAAGACAATGGATGTTTCCTCCCACTCAGTGGTGCGGTAATAAGGGTAAAAATGATACTTCCTTTGTCCCAAATTATAAGATACTTTTAAATAAAATCTCACAAACCAATAAAGCTCATTAAATATATTTTACAACCTTACTTTTTCAAGATAAAAATATAAACTTTCAAAAATATCCTTCATTTAATACTTCATTGATAAAAGAATATTGAAGAGAGAGAATATATGGGGAGGGTAATTGTTAACCTCTAGAATTTCATGTTATTTTATCACATTTTCCTTAGATTCTAATCTATTTTGGCTCAATTGTATATGTTTTTATTGCCCAAATTAAAAAAATGTGTATTTTATTTTGGGTTTGTATTTTTGGCTTTGATTTGATGTTTTTGGCTTAATTTCATGTTATTTTGGTTGAAGTTTTGATTAGAAGCATTTCTAGATCTTTGTGGATGTTTTTGGAAGGCTTTTGGATGAAGAAATTAAGCACAAAATGAATAATTTTTGTTAGCTGCAAAAATAGTGCAAAACTGCCAAAGTCGTGACTTTCGTTCATGACTTTCGCCTCAATCAGAAAAATGCTACGTTTTATTTATCAAAAATTAGTTGGCTAGGACATATATATGTTGAGAGCTCGACCCAAAATACATTTTTCAAACTTTGAACAACCATTTGGAGTTTTGTGTGCTAGGTTTAGGTATTGAAAAAATTGGGTCCAAGAGAATGGAGTTTTAAATATATTTGGAGCTCATTTTCTTTAATTTTTTTGTTCCTCTTCCCCTTCCTCTCTTATATTCTAATATGGGTCCAAATATTTTGTATATTTGTATCTTTTGGATGATTATGAGTAGATAAATACTTTGTTCTAGGGTTATGTGGAACCCTTGTATGGATTAACACTATGTTCCTCCTCTCTTTTTGTGATTAATGATATATGTGTGTTTATTTTACTCTTTTCTTAATGTTTCTAAGTGATTGGTCACCATTTAGATGTTGGGTTCACTTGATTGATGCTTAAGAAGGCTAGATTGAGTGTAGAATTTGAGTAAAATAGTGCGAGAACTTGATATTTACATGTTGAATGAATGGTTTTGCCAGTAAAATAGAGATATACTTGCTAGTCTTGCATAGCCACGTTAGGGTTGGAGCTAAAAAGTGAGTTTTATTAATTGTAACAAGAGATTAGAAAATTAATTTAACTAAACACTTGTTCATGACTTGAGAGAGCTTGTCCAAGTATTTTTAAAACTCTAGGTTAGCACTTATTTTTATTGAAAGCATTTAGGAGAGGACACGATTTCAGTGTTTTGAGACATAAGGTGGATAAATAATCCTGAGTTTAAATTTGTGCTTGAAGTCTGTGAATCAATTTATTTTCTTTATTTTCTAGTGTTAATTTAGTTTTAAAATCATTTTCACTTAATTATGTTTGGCTCAACTTAGTTGAACTCACTTAGTTTTTTGTTTGATCATTGTTTTTCAACAAATCCTCAAGGGAACGATACTTTACTTTCACTATATTACTTGCTACGACCCGTGCACTTGTGGTGAGCAATAGTAATATTGAAAAAGTATCATTAATTAAACTTTATTTTTATCAAATATCTTATATTTTGAAACGCTAAATCTTTCCTAAAAGTGTCTTATAATTTGAGATAGAGGGAGTATATTTTTGTAACTTCAGGGAAAGAATATGTCAAAGTAGAGTTTAGAATACTAGATACATTTAAAGGTATAATTTGAAAGCAAAAATAGACTTTAATGTAAATATTAAAAAGATGGGATGCAAAATATGAAGGGAATGAAATGCAAAATCTAAAATTTCATACCCATTATATGTAATTTTCAAAGTGAAGGGG